GCAGTGATTGTGTGAGGGTTTTCAGAAGGTTCATGGAAATGCACATTATTCTCTTGAAATTAACTTTGGGTGAGAGACAAAGAGAGATAGCCCTCCCTTTTGCCAGGTGACTCCCCCAAATACCTGCAAAGAGCTGGGTGGGGCTGGGCCAGGCGCGGTCTGGGCGCTGGGAGCTGGCACACAGTGTCTCAGCCGTACTTGGCAGGGAATCGAGCACGTTAGCCCTCTGCTGGTCATTCCGGAAATGCACCTTAGCAAGTAGCTGCATTGGAAGGCAGAGCTGGGAGTCCAGCAGGACATGGGCATCTGAGCCAGATGAGATGCCCATCCAGGCATGATATTTTTTAATGCATTTTATATATTTTAAAGGCAGAATGACAAAGAGGGAGAAAGAGGAAGAGGAAGAAAAAGATCTTCCATCCCCCGGTTCACTTCCTCAAATGGCCACAATGGCTGGGGCTGTACAGGACAAAGAGCCAAGAACTGCATCCAGGTTTCCCACTTGGGTTGTAGGACCCCAGATTAGAGCATTCCCTAGTGCATTAGCTGGAATGCCAGCGTCACAAATGGTAGCTTAACCCACTTATGCTGTAACACCAAGCCCTACACATAACGGTTTAACTCCGCTTTCCATAAACTTTCTAAAGAACTGTCATGTTTCTTCATTTACTTCAGCATGAGCTTCTTGCTGACTGCTTAATATGGCTCACTATGGTTTCTGCTGAAAATAATTCTAATCATTTGTTAGCTTCAATGAAACAAGTTCTAAGAATAGATGCCAAACACTGAAGGTTGGTGATTACTTTTAAACAGGATGAGCATCCAAATAAAACGAATATAAACACAGCAGTTTCCCTAAGTACTGTGCTTCAGGATGACTGGGAGGCAAGGCTGGGGCAAAAGCAGACAGGGAAGTCAAGGAGCAGCATGGAAAACATAAGCCAGAAATAAAGGGAGAGAAAGAGCACGGGATGTGAGAAACCAAAGTCGAGAACTGAACGTGAGCTGATGCCCAGAGACTGCAGGCAAGACCTGTCCTTCGGAGTTGAGTATGTGGCTGCTATGCCTTGCCAGCAGCTGGGCATGGAAGCCAGGAAGTTCCCAGAGGTCCCTGCAGAAGCTGCATGCTCAGAGTTCTTGTCTCCTCTTCCATATCACAGTACTGGTCCAGTGTCTCATTACACGGTTGATGGCAATTGTTGCCCAATGAACCTGCCTCTCTCTTCACCCTATTTGATGCAGTGATTGCCTAATTTAACTTTCTTTGCATAAGGCAGAGGCTAAGAAAGATCTGAATAAAGTGGTGAATGAATAGAAATTTCAAGGTTACATAATTACTGTGACTCACAAAGATGATTCTCTTATTAATGAGTTATTTTTTAAATATGTGCAGAAAAAGAATATTCTGCCAACACCAAGGAACCTTGTCAAGATAGAGAAGGGGAATAGTCCCCATCACCCAGGAATACCTATTTTTCTTAAAACACAAACATGAAGGCAAAGTAAGGCTAAACACACACAAGAAAAAAATTAGTATTTGCTACATAGCATTTTGTGGTCTACCCATCACTGAGCCCTAGAAATGGGGTGGAAATACCGATTCATTCAAGCCATACTTGGTAAAAAATCTCGGTCTGTGTTGACTAGACCTCACACAGACTGCTCAAATGCAAAAATGGCACTAGAGTCTGAGCTCAGTTTGTTCCTGACACACAGCAGGGTGGATCAGAACGATTTTATGGATTCACTGAGGGCTTAAACTTTGATTTCCCAGCAGACAAAAAGGCATCAAAATCATGAATATTTGATAATGAAATTGTACTAGATTATTAAAACCATTTTCTCATTACAGTTATTCTATTAGCTAAAATATGTTGATGTTTTCATTTGAATGGTCTCATTCATAATCAGCAACTGGGATTTGTTCAAAATATATCAATTTAGGAATAATTTAACTCTTTTATATGGCACTATCATTATTTTTTATTTCTGGTACCTCCTCAAAGCTGCTGTTTAGCTCTTATATTCATTCAGAACAATCTCAATATGATTAGGAAAGGGCTCTTGGGGTCCAATTTGAGCTGAATAATTTAGAAAAAAAAAAGTTCAAAATGCCAAAACCATGTAAACATAAATCAGGGAGAATAGAAATGAAAAAGAACTAAGATTTGTATTTTCCCTTTGGGAAGTAACCTTAGTTTCATGAGAATATTGCTGGCGGTGTAAGCAGTTTTAGCAGGCGTTTTCACAGAGGGTTCTGTGGGATGTGGGAAGTTGGGCTACCACGGTAGGCTGCTCGGATGACTTTGAAGTCAGAAGTCAGGTGGGTTTGCATCTGAACTTTTTTGTAAGTTACTTTCCTCATGTTGGTTAAAAAAAAAAAAAGTCAGAGCCTCAGAATATTTTTGGCAGTTGTAAAACATGTGGCAATCTCTTTTTGGTGATGGATTCTCAGATGACAAAAACTACAGATTTCTCTTTTCAAATGAGAAATGTTATCATCCGTGGAAAAAGCAAGTCTTTAATACCAGGCCAAGAGGGGCTTTCAGGTTTATCTTATTGAGTGTTTCTCCATGCAAACTTTCCTTCTTTTTTTTTTTTTTACTTGAAGGTGTTGGATTTCTTCTGCAGAACTTGTTTTCAGCGCTGTCAATGTTGCTATCTGTTATCCTTAACTCTAGCTCACCATCCACGGGTTAAGTTGATGATCCAAAAACCTTCTCTGAGATGGGTCAGATAGGTAATATGAACCAGGATGTTCAAGTCTTTTTTTTTTTTTTTGCACCCAAATAAGCTTATTTTGAAAATTCTGCTTTCCATGCACTTGTGAGCTCCCGTTGTATTTTAACATTGGAAATGAAGTGGTCTCTGAAGTTTAGCTACTGTTGTTGTTACACCCAGCGTCAAAGCAGGGATAAGCCTGTGGGTGAGGCTGTGAACCAAGAAAACGTTACTTACACAGACGTTCAGTGGGCACAGTTGGGCCCTGGATAGCTAAGGAAATACCTCCAAGTGGAAGCAAAGAGATGAGAAATTTGAGGACTTTTAAGAACTATCAACCTTTTGTTTTGTGCGATTTGTTACACTTCTTTGGCTAAAATAAAAGTATATAGATGGTCACCAGGTTAAGTCTAGAAGTTCACATTTACTTCACTGGTGGCACTTACACTAAGTCCTGCTTGTTGCCCAAATTCCAGCCTGTTCAGTCAGCACCCAGGGGACTCCTAGGCTGGGACACCGTGTGCTATACCACACCGCAAGCCCTGTTCCTGCTGCGTGCATCCAGAGAGAGAGAAGCTTTGCAACCGTTATCGTTGTCATTCTTAGCGTTCTCTTGCCGTATCAACCTTTTAAGTGTGGTTGGCACGCAGCCCTGCCAGAGCCCAACTCACGCCAGCACCTGGGAAATCACTGCTCCTTTGGCTTACTTTATTTTTTCTGATGAAATGGATTGAAAGTGCAGTGCACTCTGTTGTACTTCTTTGTTTTGAGGTTAGGGGAGCGTGGGTTTCAATTCCTATAACTTACTGCTCTACCAACTCTAGCAACCATTTCATTTAATTATATGTTTAAAATCCACCTTTTTAAATTAAAGCTCTTGATTTTTATACACTAGAAGGGAAGCAGCATAGCAGCACTTTGTACAACCCTTCCAGCCTGCCATGACTCAGCTCAGGAAGAAGTAATTATGTCCATTTTTTAAGGAAAAACTTAACGTGCACATTTCTAAGATTTAAAGCCATAATTGTAACTCAGTTTATCACTTCTGCTCGCAGTTGAATCATTAGTTATTGGAAGGTTGAGGTTTGCATTCATGACCTGAAGTGATCATACCCTTACTTCATTCATGGAAATGAACATGCAGTTTTTAACTACCCGAATCAGGAAGGTTCCACGGGCTATTAATCCATGAAAGTGGGATTTATGGTAACTTAGAGACTAGTTGAACTCGGAATTCACTGGAAGATGCAGCGATTAGCTTTTTCAAACAATAGGATTTACCGTACTTGGATTTTATATGATCAGTGATTTTTGCAACTTTTCCACCAGGAGGATTATGGACCATTTGGACAATTCATAGCCACCAGATAAATGGGCATTGTCCTAAGGAAGTCTTCGTAGCATCATCAGGCTGACACTTTATTCTCTGGCTACACCTGAAAGCATTTCAGAATTCTTCCACGATATTTACTAAATTATACACTATGGCTAAATAAAACTGACATCAAAACAACACTTGAAAGTTATCAGGCTGCAGTGCTTCTTAGAATGTGGGTTTAAGTTGGGGTCAGAGCCATGGCATAGTAGGCTAAGCCTCTGCCTGCTGTTCTGGTACTCCTTGTGTGGATGCCAGTTCACCTTGCAGCAGCTCCACTTCCCATCCAGTTCCCTGCTTGTGGCCTGGGAAAGCAGTCAAAGATTGTCTAAGGCCTTGGAACCCTGCACCCACGTGGGATACCCGGAAGAAAGTTCCTGGATCCTGGCTTCGGATTGGCATAGCATCAGCCGTTGCGCTCACTTGGGGAGTGAATCATCGGATGGAAGATCTTCCTCTCTGTCTCTCCTCCTCTGTGTATATCTGACATTGTAATAAAAATAAAATAAATCTTTTTTTTAAAAAAAGGACACTTATAAGCCATAACTTTTATATATAACAGCCCACACACAGTGACCTATTAAATAGATTAAGTTTGGGATGTAGATATAGATATAGATAGTTGTGGTCTTAAAATTAGCTTTGGCGTGAAGGATAAGTGAGAGTGTATTTTTGGCATGCCATTGTCTGAGACCTCAAGCCATGACTTGAGTCCAGCAGTGACCATACAAGCAGATGGAAGTTAATACTGATGAGGGAATTCCAGCATCCAGATTGGAGTGACATTTCCGTATGTTCTAAGTCTTCCGTTGCGGTTTCCAACGTGGCCTCCAATAGGCAGTGGGAAATGCACTGACGTGGCGTGTTCTCGGGTCCTGACGCTGCCTGCCATGTCGTTCTGCAGAATTTGTCACTGCGAAGGGGACGAGGAGAGCCCCCTCATCACGCCCTGCCGCTGCACGGGGACTCTGCGCTTCGTGCACCAGTCCTGTCTCCACCAGTGGATCAAGAGCTCAGACACACGCTGCTGCGAACTCTGCAAGTATGACTTCATCATGGAGACCAAGCTCAAGCCCCTCCGCAAGGTGAGTGTGTCCTGGGACTGCTTTGGGTGCAGGAGGGTGGGGGGTGAAGGTGAGGACTTGCAAGGCAGGTTTGCTTTAAGGATCCGTTTCCCTTTCCGAGGAGACTGCAGTTACCCATGGGCCACTGTCCATGAATGCGCGTATCCTGTCCTCAGCTCAGTGCGCGAAGTACAGCCGAGCCTGGTTCATATTTGCTGTCCCGGGGCCTCGGGTGCGCATGCCGTGCCCGATAATGTACGGAACTACACAGAAGGAAACACAAAGATATGCATGAGGACATCTTACATCACAAAAATTCACATGAAGGAAAACTACATGGATTCCAAGCATTTTGTCTTTTAATTCTGTTTTTCCATGAACTTTCTGAAGTACCCTGGCATATACAAAATATGCTTGGATTTCAGTGTAAATGAATTGGTAAGGATATTGTACTTTGGTTAATTCCCGAGAAGGTTAGAGGATAAATTAAACACCATGGACTCCTAAATTCTTGAAAATCAGGCATTGGATAGTGAGAGAGTCTGATTTCTTCTATAGGATTTGGACTCTTTTTTATGTTCAGTTCCCTCTGGGGAGTGTGTTGATGTTTTCATATAAAATTCAATCAGTAGAAGAAAGTATTCTTCCATGTTGCGCACCATGTCGTGAGATGTAAAACACAAACAGTAAGACTGAGAATCAAATATAAAGTTAGCATCTCAATCAAAGGACTTTAGCGAGGACAATGGGCCTTCCGTAATTCCCCCTTGGTGCTTAGGGCCCTGGGTGTTAGGATACCTCCGTGCCTAGCGGCAGCCCGCAGGCACAGACGCCTTCATCTTCAAAGGAGAGTGTGAAGATCCCAATTTAAATAATGAGTCAGCCTGGGGCAGCTTTTTCATTGAAATTAAAGGTAAAGCCAAAGTAGTTTGCTGGAAATCAACACGCGGGGTTCCAGATGAGCGGAGAGAAACAGCGAGGGAGAGCTTTCCACCAGGCCCGTGGCTGCTGCGTGGCCGCCGTCACTCTCAGTGGCTTCGGTGGATTACGGAGAACAGTCCCTGCCTTGGTGGTAGTCTCGACTCTCACAGTGGTTTACAGATGTTAACAATGATGTGCGTTCTCTGTAACGGATGGGGTGACCCAGGGCTAAGATGTGACCGCGCCTCTGGAGCAGTCAGCCCAGGGCTGGGGTCCTTACCTCTCCCTCTGCTCTCGGCCGAGCAGCTGCTGCGCTTGCTGGGAGAGCACAAGGGCCCTGTGCCCTCAGGGAGGCTCGGATTGCCTCACAGCAGCCCTGTGTTTCTTCGTGGTTTTCTCCTGCCCTGTCTCGATATAAAATTCGCATTCAACTGTGTCAGACATAATATCCTGCTCTGAGGTCAAAGGGCCCCGAAAAGAGCATGTTCAAATGTTCTACTTTCCAAGTGTCTGCTGTCACCCCTCTTTTGTTTGGGGTCGTAAAAACAATAGGATGCTGTGAGGAGGAACTTCAAAAGTCTGTTCTGCCTGCAGCCTTTGTGGAAACCACCCCTTAGATGCAGCCCCGACCCTTCTCTAATACTCTGTTCGCCATGATAGACAACCCTATCAGGAGATCGTTTTCTTCTCAGCCTGTTGGTAAACTGCAGAAGGGCAGCAGATGCACCTGCCTTTAAGTATCCATGAGAATGAAGATGTTGCTGCAACCTTAACGGGCACCTGCTGTCTACTGATAATGGGATTTCCTTTGATTGATCACCAGTACGGACAGAGAAAAGCATTTCAACAATCTCCACTTTGGATAGCGGAGGGAAGGGTGTGCGTGCAGCGGTGTTGGGATCGAATCCACAGGCTGTTTCCCGACAGCCACAGAAGTATTTTATTTAATCCACAGGGCTGAACACTTAAATTACAGTTATCAGTACTTAAATGTGGGCTGTTTCATGTACCGTCGCAAATGTGTTTATTGGTATGAAAATCCTGGTTCCTGGCATTATCGGATCCACATTACTATACAGAGAAAACTGGTGCAGCGAGGTGGTGGCCCCCCTTTACGCGTTTGCTTTCAAGGATTCCCCAGCCCGCTGTCCTCACTCTCTCTGACCCTGCGGCTCCGGCGTGTCCACCGTCTTAGGAACACCATGAGAGAATCTGAACTTCCAGCTCCTAATCCAACCCAGGGGCTCCAACCAGCAGCAGCATCCGTTCCTCCGCTCCCTCTGGGACTTATGGCCTTGACCACCCTAGGAGTGTGGTCCACACTCTCACTTGGCCCCTAAAAACATGAGTCACTGGAATGATGGTAAAGGGGCAGCATCCATAATGACCTTTCAGTTCTGAAATGATGCCGGTCATAGACAGGTGGCTTGCTTTGATGCATGGAGATTCATGCACGGCGTGCTGTTGGTAGTTCTTAAGTGGCCATAAAGAATGCCACATTTAGCATTTGGTGAGAATAGATTTGAAGTCCATCCAATTAACTGCTCTCAGCTCAGTAATTCCATGTACAGTTTATAACGTTTTAAAGACCAACCACATGAAACAATTATTTTAGCTAATGAGTCTGAACCTCTGCCATCAGCCAACAGAGGCAGAGCTTCGGTTGAGACACGGAGGCTGCTTAAAGCAGAAAGGTGCACATCTTCATCGTCTAACGGTCTCTGAAGTAAAACTTAACTTCGCTAATTGGTGTGACCACACCAAAGTTTACAGTTAGCAAATTCAAGTCATGCTGATGTTTCTAGAAGAAAACCTTTAAAGCTAAAATAAAAATCAAGGGCTTATTCCAGGAAAAAGCTGTTTTCATAATCTTAAAGCTATTTTCACAAAACCCTAAAAAGGTCGCTTTCAATGTGCCGGTTACCCAGGGTCCCAAAGTAATTCTCAGAGAGCCAAGAAAAGTCAAAAGGTCACAAATAAGGAACACACCGTGGTGATGGAGTGCCGTTTGGGATGCACACAGCAGCGATGGGGAGGCAGGAGTGTCTGCCACCGCAACCTGAGGAATTGCATGTCCCACTTGAATTTCTCCTGAAAGAAAGAAACCACCCATTGGATCTGAACGTGTTTCGGAGGTTATCAAACACTGCCGACACTTCATGTCCTCCCCTCTCCTAGTCCTTTTATAAAAGGTGTATTTGTTTGAAAGGCAGAGTTACGGAAAGAGGAGAGTTGGTGAGCTCTTCCATGTGCCCTTCACTCCTCTTCGGGCTGCAGGACGTGATGGCTTGAACATTTTGGTCCCTGTCACTCTTACGGGTGAATCAAGCTTTTGCAGACATTTGAGTAGTGAACCAGAATATGGAAGGTCTCTCTGTCTGCCTTTCAAATAAAAACGTTAAAAATAATTGAATATTGGGCCCAGTGCGATAACCTAGTCGTTGAAGTCCTCGCCTTGAACGCGCCAGGATCCCATATGGGTGCCAGTTCTAATCCCAACAGCTCCACTTCCCATCCAGCTCCCTGCTTGTGGCTAGGAAAGTGGTGGAGGATGGTTCAAGGCCTTGGGACCCTGAACCCACGTGGGAGACCCAGAGGAAGCTCCTGGCTCCTGGCTTTGAATGGGCTCAGCTCCGCCCATTGTGGCCACTAGGGGAGTGAACCAGCAAATGGAAGGTTTTTCTGTCTCCTTCTCCCTGTACTTCTGCCTTTCCAATGAAATAAACAAATAAATCCCTTTTTAAAAATTGACCATTAGAAAGTTCAGGCAATACAAGTTCCAGGTAAATCTAGCATGGCAAATCTTTTTAAATAATCATTTCAGTATTTTTACATTTCCATCATAATGAAAATGTGCAAAATGCATATGAAAATAACTATGTATGCATTACACAATTGCACCAAAATAAACTTATTGTTTAATTCCAATTTTCCGAAGTTTTCAAGTACCTGCATCTAATGTTTAAAATACCTCCTCTGCCTGGCTCAGGAGTTCTCTTGCCCAGACCCCAAGGTCGCACCCTCCTGGTCCCACCCAGCGCACGATGTTGGCGGCAGGTGGAGCCCTCTCAGCCTACTCACCAGGAGAGGAAAGACCTCTTGGGCCAGGCAGGCCGGGCCCGATCACCGCATGTTCACAAACACTGCATTACTTTGTTCCTGTGGGATGTTTGTGGAAGAGCCAAGGACTGGTGCATGTTTAACCATAGGAAGCCAACTGCCCAGAGATTACTGTGGATTCACTGATGATCCAAAAGGCTTCCACCTAAAAACCGTAAAATGAACAGAGTGAGGGTGAGGTCTGGTCCCTGCCTAATGTCCTGCATCTTAGTGTAGAATGCTGCTTAGTGACACTTCTACTGGCCACTTTTCACTAATACATTCGCTGTTTACTCAATTTCTCCTCTATGGCATATATTTAGGCTATATTTCTCAATTCTTTGTTCATTACAACCCCATTTTATGTCGGTATAGCAAACCCATCTTACATATGAGAATGAGACACCATATCAGACTTATTCCAAATGACACATCGCTTTCTGGTTCCAAGGCTTGTCCTTCCCGCCCAGTGCCATGCTGCGCCAACGGGCCAAGGATCTTCTGCAGAAGACATTTTTCAGAAAGGCAAAAATCCCTAACATCGCTTTCCTTACCCAGCAGCTTCTCCCGCCAGCTCAGATGCGTCGGGATCTGCACATCAGTTCTTCTTTGCGAGCCATGAGGCATGAGCAGTAGTAGGAACCACAGCTCAGGCTGTTTGTTCTGCTCTCCCTGTCTCTGTCAAACGCCTTTGGGCCTTTTATCTCTCTTTCTTGCGTATTCTCATGCATTAACCATCGCTTCTCTGTTCTGACAGCCCTCATTTGGCGTCTTCCAGAGCTGTTCCATAAACGCCGTAACAAAAGTTAGGGGCTACAGAAGCAGGTGCACAAAAGGCCGAAGTCAGCTCCGAATGCGCTCTCTTAATTGCTGGCCAGAATTTTACATAGGACAGGCGCTGGACCAGCATTCCCGAGCCCATGGAGTTCCCGCTAGCATCCTACATTCTCATTGTGACCTGAGATCCAACTCAGGATTATAGAATAAGGAAGCGCCTGGCA